ACATTTGCTCCTTGGCTTGTGTCTTTATTGCTTTCTAGTAGTGTTTTATGATAAAGGGCTCTCTTACAAAGGGAGCCAATAATAGTGCAGCAATATATGGATGATATAAGCCCCACTACGCTCTTTTATTTGTCCTCTCTCTTTTCCTATTGGTAAAACGAAATAAAAAAACGAAAACTTCCGTAAATCAAAATGGCAGATGCAAAAGAACAAAGTGTTGGTGAAGAAATAGATAGCAAGCTACTAGATCTAACTTAATTCGCTATAGACAACACCAACTACTACAACGCCTATCACTACCACTACAACAACTAGTACTACTACGACACCAGCTAATAATAATAACAACAACAATAATAATAATAATAATAACAATACAACAGACACGCCAGCTGAACCACCTCAAATGACTCGTCAAAAGTATGAAGAAGCAAAGCAGGAACTACAAGCATTATTAGCACGAAAGAAGCAAGTGGATACTAATCTGGCAAGTTCCCCCTCTTGATGATGCTTCTACATGGTTACTAAATATATATTTATATAAAATATATAGATCAACTTGGAACACGCCATCTATTTATTTGAAGGATCTTATTTGGAAGACACACAACAAAACGGAAATATCATACGTGGATTTGACGGTTATTTAGCAAATCGAACCGACAGACGAAAGCCCAAATTTACAGAATTAGATCGCTTATTTTCATTGTCTTCATCTACATATCAAAAGGTAAAAAGTATAGTGTATAATATTATGTATTAACACATGGCAATAGGCATTGGCACAAAAGGAAGAAAAGGATCAAGACTCAAGCCAAGATGATCGTTCAGTGAATAGTGCGGCAGGTTCTTTATCAGCCAGAAGAGAAAAGAAACGCAAGATGAAAGGACAAGATGGAATCAACTATAAAAAGAAGAAGCTTTCTGCAGGCAGAGACTCGGATGATGATTTGGATGTATAAATTATAATAGACTTTTCTTCTTTTTTTGCTGTTCATCCTTGTCGCGAGTGAATGATGCAAGCTATTTTATTGGCCGAATTGGGTTTTATGAAGAACAAAAAAGAAAATAGCTGTCAATTTTTTATCAAATAAAAAAAAAAGTTTGCTTAAATGTCAACAGCATTTGAATCGTTTGCCACTGTTCATCAATATCAACTTGGTCCTATTCCAAAGGAGTTATGGGAAGTAAGATATAAGTGTATATATAAAAGGCTTTTTATTCATTTTTTGTTAGCCTCTTTTCATGAAACTTGGAGAGGACTACCTTGACGCAGGTAAAACATAGAGTTGAACCTATTTACGCTCTAACAAAAAAGGTTAGGTGAATTCTTTGAACTTCATTATGGTGATCCACTATCAGGATATTCTCTTCATTTGAAAGCAGACAAGACTTTACAAAAACATAGGTAAACATTGTAAACTATGTATACGCGTATGTTGTTGACATCCAAAAAAGCAATATCTTCTTGATCGATCATGCATGGACTACTTCTCCTGAAACAGCCGTAAAGGAGCTTATTCAAAATCCTGAATTATTGGATAGACTTGAAAATTTGATGGATATTGAAAAAGAAGAGTTTGTATCGGACGATGAGGATGACAGCGATGTGACAAAGCCATCTGACGAGTTGATTCAGCTGGTTGCTTCTCAGGCAAATGTGAGTGAGAAAAAGGCAGAGGAGGCGCTCTTGGCTGAGAATAATGAGGTCGTTAATGCCATTATGGTAAATATTTATCTTACTACTCATTAGTATAACTGACGGTTTTTAAGCGATTGACACTGGACGAAGATGCAAAGCAAGAATCGGAAAGGCTGGAAGAACAGGTCCTGGGTCAAATGCTAGCTAGTGGTCAGCCTCAAGAAAAGGAAGAAAAAGAAAAGAAGGAGAGATCGGAAAGGAGAAAGAAGAGAGAAGAAGAGTGGATGAAGGGTCGTGCGAATGCGGTTTACGAAAAGATGTGGTCCTATATTCAAACCTATTCCTATTCCATCCTTCAACAAGATGGTCAACCAGTCACACATACGGCTTGGTATGTAAATGACGAAGTTGGATCTGCCATCTGTCATTCGAATAAACCAAACGTTGCCTGTCTTCCCTTCATCTTTTCCCGTGGTAGCAGAGGTATGATTCCTTACAGCGTCTTTTTCCCTATTGAAGATATTGCACCTGGAGAGATTGTCAGCTGTGATCTGTTACCCAAAAATGTTGAGCGAGAGTCAGATAAATTGGCTTATCTCTTTGCTCTGGAAAACAGGGTGTTGCTGTCTGAAGAACTTCAACAAGAGAAGCATGTGTTGATTGAGGCCTACAAATCACAAAAGCTGGCGCAAGTGTCTCTTAAACATTTGAACTCTCAGCAGGTTGTAGAATGGCTCAAGCAACAGGAAAAGAGCCAACAAAAGGATACGATATTGGTTCATACTGATGCTCAATTTGTTCAGCAATTCTTGAACCTTGATGGTGTCAAATTCACTCCTGATCGTGAGCGTGCTGACATTATTTGGCTCAGTAGCGACTTTAAGGATTGGGATTCTCTCAAACCTCACCAATCTATCAACCAGATTCCCAACGAAAGTTGTCTTACATACAAGCAAAACCTTGCGCAATTAATCAAGTATGTGATTATGAAAATACTCTAGAAAATTTATTAATGTGGGCATATAGGCAAACATTTGGATCACCATCTTGGTATTTGCCTACATACAACTTAGTAACTGAGTTATCAGAGTTCGTTGGTGATTACTTGAACGTAAGAGAAAAGGCACCAAAAATTAGAATAGAACAAGGCTATTAATACACCTTTTTAGACAAAAGACGAAGGACAGACAAATTTATGGGTTACTAAACCATGGAACGCGGCTCGTGGTATTGGAATAAGAATCGTCAAGAACCTGGCCGAGGCTATCCGTTTGCATGACGACTCTACACCAAGGGTCATCCAACGATATCTTACTTCACCTTGCCTGTACAATGGCAAAAAGTTCGATCTTCGCTATATCGTCCTCGTTCGTCAGGCTCATCCAGACCTGATTGCCTGTGTCTATAACATGTTTTGGGTCCGTTTGGCAAATAAAAAATTTGACTTGACAGACCTACAAGACTATGAGCGACAGTTTACAGTCATGAACTACACAAACTATCAGATGACACAGTTGGATCACAAGAGTTTTATTCAAAACATGGAAAAGCAACATTCTGTCAAGTGGGACAGTATACAACAAGAGATTTATACTGTCATCAGAGGTACAAAAAAGATAACACACGAGGGTAAGAGCTTATATATTCTTTGTGTAGATGTCCTCAAGGCAGCTGTTATTCAACCACAGCCTTTAGGATTTGATGGCATGGCTACGAACCAAAATACCTTTGCTGTCTATGGGTTTGATTTAATGCTCACAAATGACTTTAAGCCCATCTTGATTGAAGCCAATTTCTCACCTGATTGCACAAGAGCTTGTCAGGTAAGCTCTTTAAATGCATTTTGAGAAGCTCGATGTCTAACACTGTTATATATAGTACGATGCTCAATTCGTAAACAATATATTCTCTATGGTGGATGGACGTTTTGGAAGAGTAGAGAAAGGTTTAGAGGCATTCACAGTTTTATAGCTTTTTTTATTATTATTATGGAAGTAAAAGAGAAAGAGTATCCACAAATGCATACAACTGAAAATTTATTGGTGGGCATTGTCGTCGTTATCCTTACTGTTAAGTTGTTGTTGTTGTTGTTGTTCACTTGTAGCAGTAGAAGGATTGGAAGAAGAAGAAGGATCCGTGGTAAAAGTGCTGGTTTGTTGAGTGATAGGTAAACCGGCTTGAATAACAGCATTTTGTAACTGCAGCTGTTCATTAAGAGTATCTCTACGCTTCATATCTTGCTGTATATTTTCAATATCCTTCGCAATCACATTCGTGACTCCGCTTGCTCTTAACGACTTTACAATATACGATACGCCCACACGTTCTCTTAGCAATCGATGAACAATCAAAAGATTTTCAGGTGACAAGGATCGGTACATTGCGTACGTACGTGGGTCTTCAGCGATCGGATGATTATGCTCGGCAACACTCTTGCGAATCATCCAGAAGCTATCTCGACTACACCTAGCATAGATCATGCACTCGCAGCCTGTCTTTTGAGATCTTCGGACTCGAGGCTTGACCTCTTTATCTGGCACTGCAATCTCTGTCTTCTTTTTATCTCGTTTTTCGTTTTGACGATAATGACCACCGTGCTTACAGATGAGGTAGACCTTTGTCTTGTCTGATTTGCTTGTCGTTAAAGCCACATTGTATTTCTTGCCGTACTCATATGCAGCTGTACGAAGATCAGCAAGTGAAGGAAACATATTACCGGTGGCAAACCGCTCGTAAAACTCTGTAATCATGGCAGGATTATCAACCATATCTGTTGCTGCTGTTGTTGTTTCTGTGGCTGTTTGCGTGGTAGATGAACCCTCAGATGGATAATACAGTACTCGGTCATTAGGATTACCAAATTCTTGATAGGTCACAAGTGTATTGTTATCTTTCAAACTGAATGGCTGACTGTTGACATCAATCAAGGTTTGTTGTGTGAGTTCAGATAATGCTGGGTTGATGACGAGCCGTTTGGAAGGTGATTGTAAATCAGTTACAGGATGAAGAGGTTGGCTATTGACCTCTGAGATCAATTCAGAAGACTTGGAGCATTCAACTTTCATTTTTTATTTTGACTCAGAAAGTTTTGTGGTGTGAAGAGGGTGAAGAAAGAAAAATTCACTATTGGCACCCAAGTGCGCAGTTCTGTTTGAAGGAAAAAAGAAGGAATTTGAAAAAGTCGAGGTTGATTGGACAAATTCATTTATTAGGATTCACCTGTTTCAAATCTTTTTAGTGAGTGTCACTCGTAGTGGCCATGTTATTTTGCAGTGCTTGATCAAAATGTTGACGAAACGGAGACGAAAAATGTGACAGATACTCGTCCCTGGCATCGTCGTACTAGAGATATTTTTTGATACTATCAAAGCTTAAGTCTACTCCTTCCAAAGATTTGGTTATTATCGTATAAGCTTGAAAGATATGGGGAAAAGGGAGGACAAAACTTATTATAATTTTATATGCATAAAGCATAGCTCTGAGAGCATCTCTCACATTAGTAGTATTAGGTATGACAGACAATCTGCTGCTACCCCAGATAGTGCTTGGGAGGTACCTGTCCAAATTACAGCACGGCTGCTAAATATTGTCACTTTGTGAAAAATAAATGTCGCTAAGTGATTTTTCGAAAGCGACAACATTCTTGCCCAAACTGACAATTAGATTTCAATAACTGCCTATGTTTTTGACTTAGCGACATTTACTTTGTTCAAACGTGATATTTTATTGATGGTCCAAATGAGCGCAAAAATAAAACAATAAAATAAACGTTCGCCCGGACTCGTTCAGTCCGTTTGGAAGTATTTACGCAAAGGTTAAAAATAAAATACGTGAAAAGGAGACGACATACAAATGAGAGTAATAAGTACCAAGAAGAGAATATAAAGGATTATACAGTTAGTTATGTAAGAAAATTATTACATACAACTTACCCCGAAGGCATCTAGATGTGTCCTAGTGATAACTAGGACGGAGAATCATCGTCTAAGCGTATTCTAGTTCTTGGTTGCTCCTGATTATCCACTCTTCTTCGACGTCTTGTAGGAGCAACAGCAACCCGGCGAAACCTATGAGGAACCATGCCATTACGTCGAAGCCCACGAAGGATGTGCACGTAATTGAGACAAGCAGCAACATCCCTGTTCCATAAGCGATATCTATCTGGAGCTGCCATGGCGGGTCTACAGTATAGATTGGTGCATCTACAAGCAATGTTCAATCAGGATAAAGTCATCCAAGTGGTTGATATATATTATTACCTTAAAAGGCCATGACAGGCAACAGTAGGATATCGCTCACGTTGATACGGTCGTGGATTTGGAACACGACGGAACGTGCGGAGGCTTTCATTGTGGCGTGTTGGGCAGCACCTACTGGTCTTGTACTAGTCTATAAGATAGACTTGGAACCCATGCTTCTTGAGGAGTCTCCGGAAACCAAGGCCACGGATGGGCTCATGATACCTAGCATGGGGAGCGGACCAGTTTCCCATCACAAACACGGCGTCTTCTCCAAACTTAGCGCGTAAGTCTTGAATAAGCTTTTGATCGGCACATTGACTGTTGAAGTACGCTGAAAGACGGACCTTGCGAAAGAGGGGGTATCCATTATCATGGTTTGTGATGGTATGTCCATAGAATCGACTGAGAACGGCAGACTGTTCAGATCTGGCTTGAAGGAAGCGGCCAAAGTCTTCTACGGATACGGTGCTGCTTGGCTGTTGAGAAAGGGCTTGCTCAGCTTGAACGACATCAGGATTCTGGAATTTGAAGTCTCACAGCACTATTCATAACAAGATAATACCCTTTCATATGTGGGTACTGATCTACTTCATCCATCGTGGCCTTCAGAAAGCTATAATAATGACCAATTACTATCCCTGTGCTCGTTAGCTCAACCTAACCTTCTCTCTTTCTTTTCTTGGCTGACGGCTGCGGTAATCTCAGGCTACACTTTATTAGTCCTGAAGCAGAGATCGCACCTAAAATCGTTGTTGTTTGTGATCGGGTTTTGGGCACTGTGACCACAGCAGGCAATCCTTTTTTTGGCCAGGCCATACTACGTTTTAAATTAATATGAAATGCAGACTCATCGAGAAAGATGCGATTAGTTCTGAAGTTCATGTCCGTACACTCCCACTTATGAACCTAGTCAAAACGCTCCTGAACTTTTTCTTCACTGTTCCTATCTACAGGCTGAAATTGGGCTTTTTTGAGTGACAAGTTACATTCACTTCTTACAAAATTGTAGACAGTGCTTTTAGAGACCTTGAGATCCTGAAACTTTTGAAGTAGTCGCTCGATTACTTGCTCCATGACGACTGAAGGATCTTCGTCTATATACTCCAAGATCACTCGCTTGTGTTCTTCTTGAAGTATACGTGAGCGACCGGTTTTCTTATGCTTTATAAAAATACTATTAGGATCTGTTTTGTACATTTGAGCCCATCTTTGAGCTGCGCGAACATGAATACCTAATTGTTGTGCAGCAGCTGAAACACTCATAACTTTCTCAAGCATCAGTTTAAAGAATCTAACTTTGTCTTGATCCGTATAGAGTTTGTACACTCGTTTACTCGACGCCCCATTCATGCGAACATCTGGGTCATCTTTTGCATTTTCATCTGTCATAGGGGTTACGACGAAATTATTCTCCTGAGGCTGATTATGCAAATACTGGGCGTGTAAACTAACTGTCTTTAAAGCATATCGCTCTTCATCAATGATGTAGTCCATAGGCTCAGGTCTACCGTATGCATCAACTGCATTACTGTGTCCGTCTTCATAGACAATTTGAAAGCTCATATTGTAATACTCGGTTTTTAATGAGAAAAAAAAAAAAAAAAAAAAAAAAAAAAAAAAAAAAAGAGCTAACGATGCTTTCGTGCTTCATATACACTCTTTCCGGAAAGTAAATTCACCCAATGACGAAAACGAATCCAGGTTGTACGGAAAATGAATTCGCCCTGAAAGAAAATGAGACCAGAATAGGTCAAAATGAAAACGAGTCAAGCTTGCAAAAATAAGCATCTTCATAAGCATCCATTGACAGTTTGGCTGCAATTTGCACGCTATTGACAATCTGGCAATCTCATTGGCGTTGGGCGTTAGATCGCACACCGTTTATCTCGTCTATTGTTTTACATCGTATTATTAGCTCCTTTGCCCGTCTGGATACTGAAATCCAGCTTGATTCAAAATAATCTGTATCAAGTTTAATCTGTTTTCTGTTTCCCTTTCTTTTTTCTTTTTATACATCCAATCTTTTCTTTCCCTCATTATGACATTTAAAGGACTTTAAATAAAACTCGGAGTACGCTCCCCAACACAAAAAAAAAAGTTTGGCTGCAATGTATTCACACGTCTGCAGAAACTCTTATACTATATCCCACGGCAGAATACATACAGGAGAAATTTGTACGTCATTTTTTTTTATTGACAATGATATCCACTTTGATTCGCTGCTCCATGAGAAAAACTGTTTATTCATATGGCGAAGATTTGACAAATGGTGCGCGTCACTTCGGCATTTGCAGTGATGAGAGAGGGTGATATTTCATTCGCCAAATTGGTCAAAGGACGATTGAGTTGTTCATTGCCAATGATGTCGATGGTTGAGTTGTCATTGAACAGCCTGAGAATCTCATCCATAATATTCCAAACTTTGCCGTTTGTCTTGCATTTTTTTGTTGATCATTAACACAATATCGGCTAAGGATAGCGTTTTCACCTTGTTCCCAAACAGATGCCGCGACTGCTTGAAACAACTGGGATGCTATTTTTGCATCTGAATCCTTGTTCGTACCAGTGTTGTGGTCGGCAAGTGTCCAGATCGTAACAGGCCGCGAGCACAGATCGTTTGTGAAGATGGAACAAACAAGTATTTGTGAGAATTCGTTTATTCCTGAGAATTGAGATAATGCAAAATACAATGAAAAAGAGGGCACTATTTATACTTTTTGATGAGGATTAAATCAAGGTACGATTTGATTTGTTCTGCTACGGTAATGGTTAAAGCTGCGGTGCCTGGCTTATGAGAATGATCTGGATGCTTACTAAGTTACTCTAATTGGGTATTCTTATTATAAAGACTACGCATTGGAATAGTGCTTATAAATCACTTTATATTCCATATTGACTACGCACAGACTCTGTCTTTACTTATTATGGAAATTATAATCTTCGTTCTATAACAGTACCTTCTCACCCTCACCACATTATACACTCCACCTTGCTGAACTTACCCGGGAAATTTCAGTATAAAAATACTACGTGCCCACTTGGGTTTAATAAAAGATTGTTTAACCGTATAACAGGTCAACGCTGAGCCCAAGAGAGTGACAGATTTGAAGATATTGAGGTACGAGATGGAGGCATATTCAGAAGGAACGACAGAGGGTCTGCTATGGTTTCAGGCATATTGAGACACGTAATAGCGTGTTTTCTTGTTAAACTGAGCATAGAGCGTTTGGGACATGGACATGGCTTTCCACTACGTTGTCAGCATAATCTCTATCGCATACAGCGACTATCTTCTACGTGAAACATAGCAACTATAAGATAGGATCTAAAGATACAGATCGACGGCAGCTTGATAAAAGCTCGTAATGTCGATCTTTTTGGCTGCTTTGAGCATACGCTTATCTAGCTCTTCGTCTGTAGAAGCCATGCTTCGCCAGAGAGGGGCCTTAGAAAGTAGGTACCACCGGTGCCTACGAGTATGTCGAATGTGAGGCAGTAGTCGACATAACAGTCCGTTGTTAGGTAGATGTGGAGATCTAAAGAGGAGATGTGCTTGGAAAATATGGACTCGTTCTGTCATAAGGGGTAGTTTAGCTAGATGAAGCATCACTTTGGTAAAGGCCTTTCCACGGGCATCACAAATCTTACAGATACACCTATTTTGCACATTCTCAAGAGCTTTTAGCTGGGTACTAGTAAAGCGATTGATTGCCAAGCCATATTCAAGCTGTGATCGGACTATATGGGCGTAAAATCTGATCGAAAGAAGCCTAGAGAAGCCAGAGAGATTAAAGCCAATCGACGTCAATAAGTTCATCGTGGCTACTGCCTTGGAGGAGTTGCGCCTAAATAGCTCATTTGGGCCTAGATAATCTCCTGGTTTAAATGGTACAACTAAATAGGCGAAGGAAGCTTCATGACGGATGGCTTGGTTGTAGATGATATATGTTATTGGTTCAGTTGACTATTCAAGATAACGCATTTCAAGGGGTTCCATTGGTATCCCATTTGTAGACTATGTTCTTCACACTTTCTTAGCAGGTCAATCATCCTTATACATTCAGTTATTAGCATCACATCATCTGCATAGAGCAAGCATGTCAGGAACGATGTTATTTCCAATAGTAACATGTTGGTGGCGATAGCCTGGGGACGTAACCAGGCTGGAAGCTGATTTATATATATGGAGTAAAGGTACGGTGAGAGAATTGAGCCTTGGAGCACGCCTGATTTGGGGTTGAAGCGACGAGGGGTTGCATTAGAGAGAAGAACATCGATTTGCATATTGTCAAAAAAGCAACGTGACAGACCGAGCATAGGAGGTGAAATGTAATGGTGCAGGACGTCCCACAAAAACTGTGGCTGGCTGTGTCGTATTCGGATTTGATATCAATAAATGCTGAGACAGGCTTGATATGGTGGTGTGTACGTAGTACCTTGAATCATTACAGATGGGATCAAAGTTCGTCGCCAACATTATTGTGTACCAGTAAGGCTACGACATTACGATAGAAGTAGTGAATGTCAAAAATACGGTTATTATTGATATCCAATTTACGCAATCCGGAGCGAAGTTGGATAGCGAGTACTCGAGCCTTCGTAGAAAGGCATATGTACTGGGAAGCCTTGATTTTCGAAGAGTGGATGTAATACTCTGGCGGTACTATCTTGACTTTGTAGTCGTCGCTGCTGACTTTGTTGCATCATATGCTCTTTTAATTGGTGTACTTGGTCGGGGCCACGCCATGGTAGTGACATTGGTGTGAGTTCAGAAGCATCAATAGAGAATTGAGAGTTTGGCAGTACATGTGGCGCAGGTTGGCTGCGAGTCTATTTTTCGTGATTAAGTTGATTTGTAGTTGGATAGTCGCGGCATGGAGCTGTTCGATTTTAGATTTGGCGGCTGCAAGCTCTTGAGTAAGGTGCTGAATCATATCCAGAAGAGAATAGGTGTCATCTGATTGATTACCAAGCGCATATTGTTGGAAAGTCGGAGATGACTGGGAAGACCTAGAAAGTTTGCCAGTTTCTGTAGAAGAAATCTGTGAAGAAGAAATGCAAGAGTGAACGTTGCCTATCATATTTATAGCTCTATAGCTACTACGATACAACGAAAAATAGCTTGCGGGGGTTCCATCTTAGTGTGGCAGTTTCGGCGAAAGAAGCCCTGTTTCTCACAGCGAGGGCAATTTAAGGTCTTTTGGTATAGTTCGAACTGGGCAATCAAGTCAGTAGTTTCCTCTGAAGTAAGGTCACTTGGTGTGCTTGTGGTGTTGTTTTGGTTGGCGAGCCAGGTGGCATACTCAGGGTCGTTTTATTATAAGAGTATAAGTTTTGTAAATTAGCGAAAAGAAAGCTCGCGACGGACAGTTTTCTAACAGAAACATTGAATTTCAGAACCTGCGACTTTGCTTTTTAGAAGTACTGCACATAGTTTCCAAAAGACGACGACGTGCGTTTTATTTTACTGATGCAATCAGGTTTTATTTCTCATTCATTTCGATTAAAGTGATTGATAATGTAAGGCAATCTTGGTTTGTTGAGTATGTTTATTGATCCAGTTCAGCACTTAATAAAATGGTTAGTACGAATAGATAAATGGAGCATTTCTATTACCTTCTTTATGCCATCTTAAAGAATTGGCAGGCTTCAATACCCAGTGATTTTCGTCTGGGAAGTAAAGGAAGCGGGATTCGATACCCTGTCTTTGGAGAGCAGTGAATGCAGATAGAGACTCACAAGTAGTTAATCTATAATCACGACCACCATGAATAAATAAAGTAGGTGTCTTCCAGTTATGAACATAGTTGGCAGGAGACCATTTTTCATATAATTTTCTATTGTCAGGATGAATAGGTGCCCCCTTAAACTGTATATATAAAGTTAAAAAGAGCATTTAAACAAGTGATTTTGCTTACCTCCGTTTCAGGGAAATAAAGTTCATCTGTTGTATAGTAAGCTTGAAGAGTAGAGAACATACCATCATGGTTCACCAAGACCTTAAATTTGTCACTATGTCCATTAATCCAGTTAGCCATATAACCACCATATGAAGCGCCAAGACCTGCTACGCGTTTAGGGTCCAAGTAATCATACTTGCTGAGGATGTGACCTACGCCAGTTTCAATGTCATAGAAAGGATGAGATCCCCAGTTGCCGCCGATAGAATCCGTAAAGTTTTGACCATATCCAGTCGAACCATGGAAATTGATAGCAACAACACCGTATCCGGCACCCGCAAAAACCTGAGGGTTCCAACGAGTTGACCAGTTATCATTCCAGGCGCCCTGGGGTCCGCCATGGATCAAGACGGCAAGAGGATATTTTTTGCCTTCTTCAAACTGAGCGGGCTTGAGGTACCAGCCGTGTACTTGCTCATCCATGGCACCAACAAAATCAACATCTTCTGGCTCAGAAAAGTCAATGTCTGCCAAAGCCTGGGCAAGGCTCTTTTCGATAGTGAGAGGCTTGACTTGCCTGGTATCAACATCGAGGAGGTAAGGAGCCACAGGATGCTTCATCGAGCTCATGGTAAATAAAATGTTGCCAGACGGAAGAAGATGGAGACCAGAGGCATATTTTTCCTTGGTCAATTCAGTCACTTGTTCTGTCTGGAGATCGATAGCAAAGATTTTTTGCCTTCCTCTTTGTTCAGCAGTGACATAGAGTACCTTTCCATCTGACACTACTTCATGAGGCGTGCTGTCCCAAGACTCGGCCACAACCTTTCTCTTATCCGTCGCTAAATCATACACAGTGATCCTGTTGCGGTCTGATTCGTACTGAGGTCTCATCATTTGGAAATAGACAAGAAGACCAGATGGAGTGAAGTAAGGGCTGGAAGAGGCAGCAGGGATATCATCATTGATAGCCTTTGGTGAACCATTGCCTCTTGTAGACACAAGGTAGATATGAGCAGATGTTTGCCAGGCATTGTCTGGTTTGGTTGATTTAGCAAGGAAAGCAAGTTGAGAAGCATCGGGAGAGATTGCAAAATCACCAGCGTCGCCCAGAGGGAAAATGGGTGATTCCAGTCCAGAACCTTTAAGTAGATTGATGGGCTTGTCTGCAAGTTGATACCTGTTGTCTTTGATTTCAAGATGAACAACAAATATATTGTTCTTTTTCTCTTGAACAAAACTATCCCAATGTCTACATCCCCAGTCGAGTTATTATTTTTAAAAAATTCCCGTTTTTTTCTTATTTCTTATTTATTACCTGACCATGAGGTGATCAAACATCATACCGGTATCCTTCTTGGTTTCAGCAATTTCTTTATCCCTTGCAGCTGCTCCTTCCAATGTGCCATCATCTGGGTAAACAGCAGAAGAGAAGGCAAGTAACTTATGATCAACATTATACTTTACGTTACCAAATGCAGTAGGGAAATCAGTTAAGCGATAAGGGCTCTTGTCAGCCAAGTTCAAGACATACAATTGATCCACTTCTTCTTTTAGGTCTTGGTCATGATGGAAATAGGCAATATGGCTATCATCCAAAAAGAAAGGCTCACTGTCACTTGTCTTGTAAGAGGGTTCAGTCAGCTGTTCAACCGAGTTTGTCTCGATATTTAAAAGATAAAGGCTACGAATAGTCTATACACAATCATTAGATGAAAAATAACTTTTATGTATAAGCTATACCTTGGAATCCTCGATATTGTAGGCTGACTGGGAATAGACAGCAAAGGTGCCATTGGGTGAAGTTACAGGCGCAGTAGGTCTTGGAAGTTCGATGAGATGAGCAGGAGTGAATTTCTTACCCATGGCAGTAAAAGAAAAGAATAATGCTCCGAAAAGGGCCGGGAGCGTACTTTTAACGATCATTTTACTTTAAAGAAACGAGAAAAGAGCGGGGACCAGGATTTGCTTTATAGAAAGATAGAAAGAAATCGCGCGCGCGCTCGCAGGATTGACGATAAATCCCTAAAAAGGAGATAAAAGACAAAAACGGAAGTACAATGGCATTTCTCCTGACCCTCGGAATAAATGTCAATTAAAATTCAGTCCAGCAAAAAAACACACAACCATATTTGGAAATGAGTGAGTAGCTCCCATTGATTTCTATATTCAGTTTTTTTTTCTTGGCCATGTCTCAAGCTGATATTAGCTCTGCTTACACATTTCAAATACAATCAACCATTGATCAGTTAGAACATCAATTACTGACAATAAAGTAAATCACACTTGAAAAGAATGTTGGTTGTTTTTGACATTTAATTAGAGATGAATCAAATAAATTAGCAATTCTTATTCAAAAGACGCGAGACGCATCGCTATTAACCGAAAAGGAGCTTTCAGAAATAAAAGCAAATGTAATATAATAAAAAGTAAGAAAATGGATACTAACAATTTAGCCATAGATGGATATGTTGTCAGTCTATAACAATAAGCTATTATCCATCAAGGCAACCATGTCGATGCTCAGTGGAAGATCGAAGCAGCTACTGAGTAGAGCCGAGAAACTAAAGCAGATAAAGATGGAGTATCTCTTACAAATTGATGAAATAAAACGTATAGAGCAACAAAAGGACCAATCAATTGCTGCTGCTGTCGTTCAGAACAAACCAACGATACCCAAGACAGTGAAAAAGAAAAAGAAGGCAAGGCAAGTTTTGTTGGAAGAAGAACATTCATCAGACTGGAAACCCAAACGTAAAGAGAAATAATAAAATTTTATTTTTTTATGCTCTGAGCGCACGTCTATCTTCCTTTGTCTGTGCTTTGAAACCTGTCTTGATGGCAGAGACGGAACGAGTCGAGCCACAGTGTTCACAGGTAACAAAGTATAGTCTGTTATCTTTGGTCATGATCGTGTTGGGAGATTTACAAGTCTTACAGGTGACGTATTCGACAATGTAACGACGCAGCACATTTTCGATTTGCTTTTGTTGGAAACGACCCTTGATGATCAATCTTTGAGCACCGTCGACGGAACCGGTTGTACCCAATTCGGCAAACAAGAACTGAATGACATGTTCAGCAGGACGGTGAAGTCTCTTGGAAATTTCTGATACGTTTGCAAAGATCGTCTTCTTGTTACCTTCACGATGAATTGAAGGAGGAACAATGGTGTATTTCTTCTTTTCGCCTGCCAATTCAGGATTATTTTGTTTCAAGATGTTGAATACGCGGTCAAGGAGCTGATGATACATTAGGCACACTAGCAACTCATTTATATAATAATTACCTCTTCGTATGCATAGTCTCTGTCACTCTTCAGCCAAGCTTCTTCGCCAGCTTGTTTATCTGATTTGTCTTCGACAATTTCTTCATCTGCATTTTCATCAGCCAAGTCAGCTTCAAATTGAGCCATAGACTTCTTCTTCTTCTTCTTTCTCTTTAAAGCACCGAAATCTAATTCTTCATCATTATCAGCTGCGGCTTCAGTTTCAGCAGGAGCGTCCTTGTGACAGATGTGTTTATATTCTTTTCTGTTAACCCGTTCTTTTATCATTTACCTCTTCAGTTGACTTGGACTTCTTTTTCTTTTTCTTTTTCAAGTCGGCAAACATGGCATCAGGATCCTCTTCAGCATCTAATTATAACGTTTTAACATTAATCTTTCTAATTATCGTCTTGCTGTTACCATCTTGTTCACCAGCTACTTCTTCATTATCAGCAGCATTAGTAGGTTCAGAAGGTTCGGCTTCTGCTTCGAAATCAACCTTCTTCTTGGACTTCTTCTTCTTTTTTAATTTAGAAAAGTCGACCTGTAATTACAATTGTTAGTTTCTTTTGTTTTCCTAAACTGTATATATTACTTCTTCGTCGTCGAATTGCTGAACAGGTTCTTTTTCGTTGTCTGACATTGCTTACGAGAATAAAAAAGAGTAGTTTTAATTTTTTCTTTTTCAAAAAAAAATGCGGCCAAACTCTAACGTCACAACAGAATGACCTCCCTTTAGAGAAAATTTTTTATGAGAAAACAAGTGATGATCCCTCTTTTATGACTATCTCTGACCACATATTACAACATACATCAATTGCATATATATTCTATTCACACCAGTAAGCTGCACATGCACACACACATAAAGTAAACATACAAGAAAGGAAAATGACTCACGCTAAGCCACAGCTGTCTTTTAAAATTAAAACTATGTACAATCAAGAACTCAAATTTATTGTTACAATTTAACGGTAACGACGAAGAGAAAGAGTGTTGCGACGCTTCCAGGTGGCACGACGACCGGATCCCTTGGTGTTGTTGAATCTGTGTCCCTTTTGGTGACCACGAGACTTCTTGCCGATAGCAGTCAAACCACGGGCTTCACGACGCTTATGAACGGGGTTGACGATCCAGCTGATACGAGGATCATTACGGATAGCCTTGTGAGAGGGGTCAACGAGAATAACTTCGTAGTACTTGTAGGTGGCATCTTGGTTGATCCAGTAAGAGTTGAGCACACGAAGATTACGGCATTTGCGACCGACACGTTCCTCGGCGGTGGAACGGAGAGAGCGTTGATACTTCAGTTGGTTAACACCTTCGTTCACAGGCTTACCGTAGGTGGCACCCTTAGGGACAGGTCTCTTACGACCACCACGACGGACACGGATACGGTAGATAACGTAGCCTTGCTTGGCCTTGTAGCCTAAACGACGAGCCTTGTCAGGACGAGAAGGACGAGAGGCACGGTGGATGACATTCAATTGTCTACATTAGATTCGTGTAAGTAATGGGGGAAGGTACTTTATAAAAAGTTCATCGGATGAATTTAAACCATGCATAAAATGAACTCTGTTCATTTTAAAGAGGTATTCAAGCCTAAATGTACCTGTATTCCCAACATCTAACACGAAGTAAGAAGCGAGAAACATCAGATTGTTTCTTTCTGGCAAGTTCTTCAAGGTATTTGTAGGCTTTAGACAAGTAAGTATATCATTCTCTCATTCACAATCAATCTTTCTTACCGCCCATTTGATGGATGGATGGATGGATGCAGACAAAAAGAGAGAGAGAAAATAAGTGAAGAGGTTCAACAGTTAAATTTGAAATTGAAGCTCCGTTTTTTATTTTAATCGTAAAGCGATAATAAATAATTACGAATGTCTTGAACGCCTTTTCCACTGTAAACACAAAATGTTTGTCTTTGTAGTTCGGTGAATTCACTAGGCGGTGGTCTACAGAACTGTTGATAGTCTTCCCTCAAGAAGGCAGGTACATGTGTCAACGAGAGGTGATTGAGGTACCTACACCTGTGTAATAAACGAGTGATGGCAGGCACGGTCAACTTGACACAATAGCTCAGATGAACTCGCTCAAGACTCATGGAATGGTAAGAGAGAGCTTGAATAGCAGCGTCTGTGATATTGGAGCACTTAACTAGACCGATACGTTTCAGCTTTGTCAAGTTCTTTGCGAGTTCAACGACGGATTTATCTGTGATGTCGATACAACAAGCCATATCCAAGTACCTGATCCGGTTGCATTCTGTTGCCAGCTTGGTGATGGAGCGGTCTGTGATCTGAGAGCAGTGGCCAAGGTGAAGGTAGTGAAGATATCGGCCTAATTTACAGACAGAGAGGATGCCTTCATCTGTTACCTTGAAGCACTTGTTCAAAACCAAACTTCGAATCCGAGGCGCTGCTTCGACAAGGATCGCAATAGAGTGATCATTGATGGACGAAATGCCTGTTAGATCGACAAGGCGAAGTTGTTCGTAATAACTTGGGTTATTCGCAAGAGCCGAATCCAGAAAGACTCGTTCGGTCAATAAACTCTCGGCTGCATCGCACTGATTTAATCGAAGTTCACGCAGGTCACGACAATGAGAAAATAATGCTTGCAGCGTACGGTCTGTCACGCCGCAGTTCATGAGGTCGACTTCGACAAGGTAAGGACAATAGAGCGCAAGAGCAATTGACGACTTTTCAGTGATGGTCACACAGTTGTTGAGCTTGATCTATAAAAATACATATTATTTAATACTTGAATATTTGTATACACACAAACAATTACTCTTTTCAATTCTGGGCATTGTTGAGCTAGAGCAACGATACCAACATCGGTAATATCAAAATGTGGCCGACTCATGCTCAAATTCAGCCCTTGTAATCTTGGGCAACATATTGCAATCTTGAGTATGGTTTTGTCTGTAACGTTGAGTACATCTGTTAGATCAATAGACACCAATTCTGGGCCTATGCCCGTTCTGACATCAATCAGATTGCACAATCCGACATCGGTAATATGGAAACAGTTTGCAAGCGTCAATCGCTCAAGCCGTTGACAGTTGGCGAGTGAGGCAATATGTGTATCGTTCACAAGAGAAGCAAGCGGTGCCAGGTTGATCCTGCGAATAAAGGAGGTATATGGGAATGAATGTTGTTTGAGTTGTAGTGTATTAAAAAAGGAAAGACAGCGTGGTGATCGTGTGATGTTGGGTTTATACCAAAGCTGTTCTAGAGCATGGTAACTCCATTGTCTACAGACATGTGTGCATTGAATCAAATCCTTTTCGTCATCTAACTCTTTTAAAATGTGGACAACAATTTCAGTGGGAATCAATCTCATAAGGAGAAGAATAAAACACACGCAAACAAAGAAAAAAGGGAAAAAAAGGAGCAAGAAAAAAGAGAAAAAATGCAGATGATTTCAATGTGCAACAAAAACAACGTGAGCAATAATGGAACAAATGTGGACTCCCACTGATGGACCCACCCACCCACAATTATGTCATCAGACGTGAATTTAGATTTTCTTTTTTTTTACTAAACATCTCTTCCTTCCTTCATTTGTAATGGCTTCATCTGCCTTCTGCAACAGCAAAATGTCTTTGTTAGATAAAGGATATTGGTCAATGTCTTTTCTATTATGTTCAGCCTCTACTATATCTGTATCAATCGTAAGGAGAACTCTACACGAGCTGAACCGGCAATACAGGAGTTAGAGGCATACTCTTAACCATTGTAAATTTTTAAGGCGGTGTATGCTTAACACAAAAGAAATATATACGAGGCATACAGTGTGGTATTTACACTATTTCTATACTTCTCAACAAGTTTTTTCTCGCTGCTCATTCTTCCAGTATTCGAATTTTTGCTGCAAATAGAGTACAAAAAACATATCGTCGAATTGGTGGCAAAAGTTATCGACCTTAAGATCTGTGATTTTGATGTCGTGAAATAAACAAGAGTTACAAACAGATTCCATAGAATCTTTGGTATGCTTTTCAATAGACTTGGCAGAAACGAAGTTTGATGATTGTGCCCAAAACTCATACTGAGTTTCCAACAAATATGGAGTATTGACTGAATTCAGTACTGATGTAGACGAAGAGAATCAATTTTATCATGAATTGCTGGTCAACGCAAATCTGAACTTCAATGAGGAAGGGCGGTAGACCATCTGTCACTTAGGTTCTTGGTACATATCTTGTTTCCATTTTCGTGCCGTATCCTGGTTGACATTCGCAGTTTTAGCTGCCTCCTTGGGCTTCATGAGTTTTTCTGTTAGAAAATAAAAATATCTTCTGCAATCTTCATCAGTGTAAACGCTGTGTTGAGTAACTATTTCCTTCTTTACAACATTATAAGAAGCAGTAGATTCTACGTGAGCATCTTGACTCTTGATATCCTTTTATAATTTAGTCATGCTTGGTATCTGTGACTTTTATGATGACGTCAAGATGCTGGATAATTATTCATCCGTATTTATCTATATTTCACACTGCCAAACAAAAGGGGGTGTTAACAGTAATTTTTGCGTTTGCTTTTTGCTGTTGTTGTTCACATAAACAATAAATTATGACAGAAGTATCACGACAGCAACGATTGGATATCAAGGTACTTACTTCCGAATACCTCAGCAGTGCACAAACCGCCATGGATGCTGCCAAACAAAAGGCCAGACACATGGTAAGCTCTGCACGAGACTTGATTCCCAACGTTTCGCTTCCTCAAGTAGACGCTCTATCCACGGTCATGTTCAGTCCACTCGCGGCACATCCTGTCTATCGCTCAGAAAAGATGATGAAGGCCATGCAAATGATGCAACAACAACAACAACAACGAACATCATCGTCGTCTGGAACAACAACAGCCATCGCCCCGCGTTCTGATCTTATATTACACGGTAGGGCCTATGCATGGCCGTCGAGCGCAGCATTACTGGAAGAAGAGATACCCGAATCAAATACGCCGCCAGTGACCTTATTTCAAGGGTTTGCCGCAACCTATCCGTCTTTGGCAAAGAGATCAAAAAAAAAATCGAGACAGAGAAAAAAGAAAACTGCCTCGGAGACTTCGAGTGTACAGAGCGAGAGTAAAAGGGAAGAAGGTAATCAGATACGCGGTCCGTATTATTTGCCATTCATTGACAAAGACAGTTTATAGAAGAAGCTCCGAGAACAGTGAATCAGATCATTTCTCAGAGAGAAAGAAAAGTAAGAGAGTCAGATAGAATTAGTATGCAAAAGGTGAAACATGAGAAATGAAAAAAGGAGGAGTATGCTTATGTATATCTGTGCTAGTCTTCAATTGTGAACGAGATCGAACAGCTAGATTTACAAATTAATGAATTACTGACAAAACGTAAGGCATTAGAGCAGCGATGGGAGGAGTTGGAATTGAAAGATACACAGCTTAGACTGATAAGTAAATATATTTACGTCAAATGAAAGACAGGACATTCATTTCTTTCTCTGTGTGTAGTTGAAGAACTAGACGAAGCTATTGTAGATATAGAAGTAGGAGGAGATGGTAGACTGCCACTAACAAAGAAAGCAGAGCCTGATGAAGAAATAGACTCGCCTATAGAGCTCTATCGTCGACTATTTACGGTGTTTAAGCACGAAGATGATGACACAGATTATTTAGAATCCATGTAAATAAAATAAATAAAAATTAAAGGTTGATATGTGTAATACATAACTGGGTATATCGGAAATGATCCGAACCTGGTAACAGAAACCATAGTAACCATGGTGAATGATAGTAATACAGAGTGTTTAATTTTTTTTTCATATTTTTTATTATCATTAGTAAATAGTATATGTTTGATTTATTTCTCCCCCTTCTTTTCGTTTAATTCGACATCTTCGTTCCATTCTGGCTTTCTCATAAATTGTCTAAAAGTATCTGCGATCATCAAGGCATCTGTCGATGATAAGATACTACTCGAATGATTAGCTTCACTGTGAATGCCTAAACTTGCTTGTTGTTGCATGACTGGTAATTTTTCATTTGTACTGCTGAGTGTTCTATTCTGTTGTGGAGGAGATGCGGAGTGAACGGAAAGATCGTGTGTGGCTGTAGGTGCAGCAGCGGATGTGAGAGCGATATGATCAGGCACCAATAATTTTTCATCATTCGCGTGTTCACTGCCTGTGCCTGTGACAGCAGCAAGATGCTTTCTGTTTTTGTACCTTCTTACTGCCCAAATCAGCGCTATTGAAGCTGCTATAAATAAAATTGAAACAATACAAATGAGAGCGATGGCCCAACCGGGTAATCGGTTACTGCTCTGGCTGCTGTTGTTGCTGTTGGTTGATAGGGTGCTTGGTGATGATTGTGTAGTTGAAGAAGTAGGTGCAGTAGATGTGGGATGAGTAGTATTATGAGCACTTTCTATAAATATAAATCAAAAATAGAAAGATGACGTGTTATCTTCCTAATATGAATAAATAAATATAAAAATAGAGAATAGTTACGAATTAGTGTAAATGGCTGAGGAGGAGGAAATTGGTTGTGACTTGAAGGTATCTTTGCGAGATCTTCTTGAATATCGGCACCAGTGCCTACGAGATAAAAGTACATCGTCCAAGTGACGTTGGGTGAATTGTCTTTGATTGGCTGTGGGTACCACGAGTCATCGACAGTTGGTACAAAAACTCCTGTTGATTTATCCAAACCTGTCCAATTCTTTACAGATTCATATTGACCAGAGGATGGCGAATAAAGTAAATAGAGGTCAACTTGGTTCTAAAGAAGTAGAGATGAGAAGAAAGGATATATGAATTATTTAAGGAGACAAGTTAAAACGTACTTACATATGCATTAAAATAAGGATTACTTTATATTTTTAAATGAGTTATTAAATGAATTATATAAAGACACTTTCCTTACTTGTATTTCCAAGTTATTTCATAAAGTGTATTATTATACCAAACAGAAGAAGCTGTTGGTGAACATATCGCTACTGTATTATTCTCTCCACCACAGGACCTTGATGCAATAGCTACACTGGCATTTAATACAACTTGAAAATTAAACTATTCAAAAAGGTACCTTGTCGTTTATCGAATATTATTGATGCAGTAACTTGATGATTCAGAAATAATAGTAAACATGTACAATAAATTATTAGAAAATACATTTAAAAAATAAAATAAAAAAGATCCTTTTCTTTTTTATTTCTTTGTTCTTTTTTTTTCGAGTTTAAAAAAAAGGGAAAAGGAAAAAAAAGGTCTCCTCTTCTTTTTATTTTTTTTTCTTTTTTCTTTCTTTCTCTCTCTCAGTTAAAAAAAAAGTTACAACGATATTTTGTTATTGGATGCTTTTTTATACCAGACACAAACAAATGGGTTACACCATATCAAATTGGGATCACAAAAGAAAAATCAGAATTTCAAGTCGAGAACATGTACACCCCCTTGTTTATGCTTTGAGTGGAAGCAGATCATAAATCATTATCTTACTCCTTCTGTTCTCCCATTTTTTATTTAATCATGATATTGGCATCTATAAATGTATAAAAAAAGATATTAATTGATATTTTGAGTATTTTTATTTTACTATTTGAGGATAGCTCTTTTTTGTGTATTGCTTGTCATAAAGATTGAATAGATATGCATAAAGAATAATGATTGAGATTCTTTTATAATTAAGCTTTTACCCCCTTTCTCTTTTCTTTTTCTAAAGTGGCTGCCATGCCAATTGATGGTTACAGTATTTCTACTTCAAATTCAGACGATGTTAGTTTTAGACCAGTCAACAGTGATCTTTGAACATCTTACCTGTAGATATCTAAATCTCTTGCGAAAGAGAAACCATGTTCGATATGGTGATATGAAAAAAAAAAGAAGGGTTTTTACATTTTTGGTTTCGCAAGAAAACTGGAGGACGACTGAATCCAGTGATAACGTCTTTGGAGATTTTGAAAATGTTTTTGGAAGCATTTAGATCACGCTGCCACGTTATTCCACGACTTTTGCAAATGAGAACACTGTGGGTGTCGATCATAGTTGTAGTAAGTGTCATATTTTGATATGAATGGCATACCAATGTTTACAAAAAATACAAGTGTATGACATAAATGGTAATTGTATTTATTACCTTGAGTGTACGAAATTCATCCATTTTTGCAAGCAACAGCTCACCAGACTTCTGTCTTCTCTTTAACTACTGACAAAGCGCTCCAGTGGCATCAACTTTACGCGTCTTTATCTTTACCAAGCCCTTTCTATAACAAACAGCGAATAATAATGATTATTTTCCATGTTATGCGAAGCACTTACTTTTGGGTTACTTAGGAGGATGCTTATCTTTTCTTTTCTTCTTGCATATTTTTTCTTGTTTAAATATATCGGTTTAAAGGGAAAAAAAAAAGGATTGTGAATTGTATTGTTGAAAAAAGGGGCGCTAATATATACTTTTGCTGTCAACATTCATCTGCCAGACTTGACAGCATTTTCAACTTTTGATTAATATTTTTTTTACATTTTTACCCTTGATCCCTATCATTAGCTTCCTAGATTATCCAGAAGAGCATCTGTTTACTTTATTTTTGTGGTCAATTGGATCATGTCAGTAAAATATTGCGTTTATACTAATTGTGCTTTTGATATCACTGTTGGCTTGTCTAAAGCTAATTTCCTATTTTATCTTGTACAAAACATGTAACAAGTCGTCTGAATTTAAATTTTGATTCGTCCAGAAAAAAAAACGAGCGTCGTCTGAATTTGAAGTTTTTTTTTTCTGTGGAGACGTAGGTCTGAAGAGTTGAGTCTAAAAAAGTGTCTTAGTTACAAGAACGCTGTAGAAGATCTGTGGCACCAGATTAAGACAAATGAATATACGAAAGGTCTCGAATTCAAATATTACAAAAGGATACATATACCGTTTGGTTAAAAGATATCGTCTTGGTACTTGCACAAACTAAATACTACCTCTTTCATAAATGAAGTACCAAACCCTGACGGACTTTTTTCCACCAGAAACGACACATTGACACATCCAGTTTTGGTTCTATTTTTTGCTTCATGTCGGACTATTACTATAAAGGAGCGAATAAACTCAAGTAATATACTTGATATTAAAATAGCTTACGTTACTAATGCCATTAAAGTTACGAATATAAACTATTGATGAATGAGATACATATATGGTTACTGTTGTGCTTGTTGAAACTATTACATGAAAAGGACAGAAAGCCAATGACTAACAATGTATATCCTTTATTGGGAAGAGATGGGGATATGTTGTCAAAGAAGAGATGTATATTAAAATAAATTGTGAGATAGAGAAGGTATTATAATGAATAAAGGATCTTCATTCTATTGTAGTGCACAAAAATAGTTTCTGATTGATCAATCAATTTAGCTGTATCTGACTGCATAAATATCATATTCGCTCAGGATATCTTTTCATAATGAACTATGCTCATACAGCCCTAAATGTCATGGTTGAGGTATCAAAACCTGCATATTGGGATTTTATATCCCGCGGTTAAGTTGTCACGGGCAGTCCCCCAGAACCTTAGTAAACCCAATTCTCACATTTTGAATCACAGCTACACACACAAGCACGCACACTGTCCCGAGAATTTCTGTTTTGCTTGTTTCTTTACAGCAATGAATGCTTTCCTTGAACACCATAACCTCTTACTTGTCGATTCCAAGGACCCGATTCGAGGCAGATATGTAAAAAGCACAACAAGAATAACCAAGGGCACAGTTATTATCACCTCACAACCACTGGGCACAGTCGTTCTTCCTCAAACCGCGAATGAGTACTGCAACTATTGCTTCCGAAAGCAAACACAACCACCGCTTCAGCGCTGTTCACGATGTAAAGCAACATACTTTTGTGACATGGGATGTTTCCGAAATGCCTGGTTGAGCTATCATCAGTTTGTGTGCACACCTGTAGATCAGCAAGAAAAGACAATGACTGCCGAAAATGATCTAGATCTCGAAATGCTCGAAAAGGTAGCACTGAACGTATCGCGATACCGCAAACGAGAAAGCAAAGATGAGACTAGTAGTGACGAAGAAACGGTCGATGTGACGATGGAGGCATTTTTCAGTCTGATGGGACATGATAAGTTACAGCGTCCGGCTGTACAGAGGGCGTATCGACAAATCGCTCAGGCTGCGCTAAAGAAGGAGTATATTCGTGAGACAGGTTTGGCAGAGAACGAGCTAGTGCATTACCTGAACGTATTCAAGTCAAACAACTTTGCGATCGACGATAAGGACATGTTTGCTATTGGTGAAGGTGCATACCCGATCGCGTCACTCTTCAATCATTCGTGTCGACCTAACGCTGTGATTATGTACGATGGAGCACTTGCTGAAATTCATGCAATTGAAGATATTGAGCCAGAAACAGAAATCACCGTGTCCTATCTGGACGCGGCGCATTCAAGGACGTATCGAAAGCGAGTGTTGAACGACAAGTACTTTTTTGATTGCCGATGCCTGCGGTGCGAACGACATGAAGAAAAGCCGTACGTGGCGCTCATTGACGAATTACTTGGCGAAGAGGAGTCCGAGTGGGATCGAGCCGATGAGATCTTGAATGGGGGCAAGAATGAGGCAAGGTCGCATGTGATGAAACAGATTGACGAGTGGGACCTACTAGAGATGTGCAAGATTTACGACCGCAAAAGCAGTGGGTGTCCTGATCCATCTGAGCCAATATCGATAGCACATTATACACATTACTTTATCCAATTTTTTGCGCCATACCTACTCACCTGGAACCAACCTCATTTGCATCAGCAGTATGTTGGAACCACGCGGAAGACACAGCTCACTGATTTTGACGATCCTCTGCCAGCCCTTGCGAAACCTCCAGTGCAGGCGACCTATGACGATATCCTGAGTACAGCGATTGAGACCATGAAGCAGTACCCAACTTCATCATCGACTCTGATACCTTACAGACTGACTACCTTGTCGGTGTGCAGCCGTCTGATGTACGATCAAATGTCAGAAGGCCACTGGGAAGCTGCGGTCAAGCTAGGCATGTACGTTCTTATCCAATACTGCCTAATCTACCCACCCTATCACCCTATGCTCGCCCGACACTTTTTGACACTTGCTAAGGCCTGTTGGAACTCAATCATTCAACAGGAACTACTCAATAATGGAAGACAGCTTGCAAAGGTCTTTGAACGTGGTGTGCGACGATGGATCATGTCCTCCAAGGAAACCGTCGCAGTAGCCTTTGGCAGGCATAGCAGCTTGTGGAGAGAGACATTGGAATTAGAATGGATCTTTCTAAGAGAGCAGAATTTGAAATAGTGTTTTTATTGTATGTATCTATATTTAATTTGAAAACAAATGGCAATGATCAGCACTGTGAGCCAAAATAATAGCAGTGTATAATAAAACCAAAGCAAACTCTTCAAAGGGCCGCTTAGTATGTCAATATTGTCACCCATGTAGAACGAATCAGTGATGACGTTGTTCATATGAACAAGTACAGTAGAAGTGTTAAACGAGGAGGACACCTTGAGTTTATCCAGCGAGATGTAGGAAGCATTGGCCTAAACGGAAAAAAAAAGTTAGCAACGTTTTTTTTTTTTTTTTTTTTTTTTACTAAGGCCTCTTACAATCCACGCAAGTCCAGTTTCGATAGCATCGATACGATTGATGACCAAACATTTGATCAATCCTTGAGCAGGTTCTTCCAAGAGAGTACCGCCAAATATTTTTTGGATCACTTGTTGGATATCTTGGACGGCGCAAGTAAGAGCACTGTTTGCTTGTAAAGCGAGATTTTTTATCACCCCAAGTGTTTTCTCATTGATATCTTTCTCTGCTTGGCCGATCCAGCCATCCATATTTTGCACTTGATCATTGACAGTCGTTATCCAGGTAGACATTGCATTTGCGATCCAAGACGAAGAGTGATCAAAAAAGGCTTGCATGAGCTGCCTCGATTTGCTCTCTAAAGCCCGTATGAGAATGTTTATAAGCAATACGCCCAGAACGCCTACGACAAGGCAGTATAAAGCGATAGGATGGCTCATGAACTGAATGAATCGGTACCTTGGTTTGTAATCAATTGCTTGTGTCTCCACAAGCAGCCTGACAGAGGCAGCCTGTTCGTATAATCTCAGCAATTCATCTCCGTCGGCTTGTTTTTCACCGTCCTTGCGAAGAGCAGTACATAACGAAGAACGCAACTCGACTAATCGTCTGTACTGAAATCTGATGAAAGAAGCATGGATAAAGATAAAGACGACGAGAAAGACAAAGACGAGTCCGATGATCCATTTGATAAAGTATCCAAGCTTGTACTCCATGTCATCCAGTGCAGTCAGTAGTTCCGAAGTGTCACAAATTTCTGGGCCCTGAAAGGAGGTAAGATTAAACGGCGCGGGTTCCCAGGAACCGATAGTCTGGTTGAGCTGTGATTCAATCATGTTGAATGAACTTTCAATCACATTTTGTATCAAGTCGTCACCATCGTTCGACCAGCGATCGAGGTTATCCTGGATGCTTTGAAGCGTGCCTGTCCAGTCACCCAAGGGACTGCTTGAGCCTGTAAAGAGTGAAGTGATGTCCTGTGATATCTTTTGCAAGGGACCAGCGACCTTGATCAAGACAGACAGGATGATATGAATAGCTAACCCCAGTAAGCAACGATAGGTCGATTTGTACATATGAACAAACCAGATTGCACAGGCTTTGGCCACAGTGATTGCAGTGAGTAGGAGCATCTGTACTCCGTCTTTCACTGCCTGGATAGCGTTCATCGATGCTGTGACGAGCGTTTGAGGTTTGTTGTAAAGTTGTGAAGAGAGAGATGTGAAGGTATCGCACATGGTGTTCACACGTGAGCGGTAGGCGCTTATGGTTGAAGAGAGACAGGATAATATGTAAAAGAGGTTACCGAGGATAAGCGCAAGGTATACTGTGCCAACGTGTAACCATGCTAGTGAGTATTCTTCTTGAAGGGTGCGAGCCATCTATGTGTGTATGAATAATATAAAATGAAAAAGAAAAACTAGGTTTCTTCATGCGTGTTTTCTTAAATACATCAACATTATTCACTTTGAAAGAGGTTAATTTAATAATAAAACCCAAAAGTCTCATTGCAGTTCATATACACAGGTTTCTTGGTAGAACATTGAATAATGAGCGTATCTTTATTTAGGTTTACAATTAGGCGTGTAGATATGAGCCATTATATGGTAATATACAAAGGGACTGTTATAAATTATTCATAATCATCGGCGCAACAATGCTATCTTCTATGATATATTCTGAGTCTATAAGAGCATCCATTACCATTGGAGCTACTACATACTGTATTTTTATTAGTTATTGACGTTAATTTTATAAAACATTGTCGTAAAATAAAAAAAATTATATACGTAAAAAGACGACAAAGAAAAATACGTTTGAATAAAACGACATCATGTCAAAAGAGAGAGATAATGAGTATATGTAGAAAAAGAGAGAAAGAGTATGTTAGTATTAGAGCACATATCCTAATATTAGTTTTACTTACCACCAAGGTGTATTCTGGGGAGGGTAGCGATAACTACCCAGGATTGTTTTAACAAAAAAAAAGGAAATAGGAGCAATCTGCTTCGTAACCATTCAAGAATATGCATTGCCAAATATGACTACATGTTCTTCTGGTTTCATGGAAAAACCGAATAAAGAATTTAATTTTTTACAAGGAGACTAAAGAGGGCGATTTCTAATATTAGGTTAGTTTCTGCTCCAAGACAGCCCACCTATTAATATTACTGTTAAATGAGATAGTGAGCCATATTCTTTTTGTATTTGTTATTACTCTGATAACATTACAATGGTTTCAATACGACATCTCAATTTGGAAATACAGTATATCCATGGATGTCAAGGCTGATACTACGAAAATATTCTTGGTAACGACGAATTTACATTTCATACAACATGAATTTTGTTCTCACCATTGGGTGCATTTATTTTCGATCACAGGCGAATTTACTTTCCGGAAAGACTGTATAGCCTCGACATATGCGGCAAACAAAACGAGAAGAGCAAAGCGGATAAGAGTGTAAGACTTCCTTTGAGATTGTATTGAAAAATAAAGAGATATACGATTGTATTTATATATAAAAATAATGTAGAACAATGAGATAATAAACTATAATGAAAAGGACGATCATTAAAGATAATCTACCCTTTTTTTCTTCTTTGTCCGTTTGCTTCTTTAAAAAATGGCTCTCCTCTTTTCATATGACTTAAAGCTCTAGAATAAATGTTTATGCAAGTGTGATTTGTAATATGAGCTTTTAATGATCGACAGTATGAAATGCTTAGAGACTTCGTCAAAAAAAAGAGAGGGATGTTCGAACAAGGAATAAAGAACGTTACTATTACTTGTATATTTACAAAACGATACGCTATGAAATAAATACAGCATGCATCTATGACTTAGGGCTTTATTCTTTCCATGTTTTGCAAACTGAACAAAAAAGGAAAAGGTCATCTCTCGTAGCTTTTCTTTGTTTGAAAATAAGCCTGTCAGATAAGAGTTATTTTATGATTAAAGCACACAGATACTTATAGAACACGTTTTACAACAAGTCGTTTATATTCAAGAGAACATCTCTGATTAATGTAGAGGAACATGGCATGATTTTCTTTAAATGTAACTAACCATGTTGAACAAGATACTGTCATTGCAATCATCTATCTCATTAGGCGATACGGACCTGTGAAAAACCAAAGGCTGCTATGTCCCTTGTGGAGCCCATATGATGAACTGTATATAATCATAATGTATATTAAAAGATCTAGAGGCGTCATGACTATAGGTACGGGAACGGGTGTACTGCATATAACAATGTGTATTGCGATATTTAGAGTATCTAGAAGCCACTGCTTCATCTGCCATGACCTATTTGAGGGCTTGCAGCGTATACTATGGCCATCCATTGATACCTACGTCTACACTTGTTCAAAATAAAGTCATTATTTTTTTCATGGGTTAGCAGGGTTTCGGAGCGTGTCTATCATTTGTTATTACCATTTTTGGTGACGACGTTCCTTTGATTTATGCATAGTTTGCTTCATTTCTTTATACGAGATTATTACTTTATATAGCAACTACTACAAAATAGTATTTATCTAGTCTTTACTTGCAAAAAGTCAAAGGGAAAAAAAGGGTTCTGCAGTAACACGAATAGTGTGTGTGACCAAGACTAGGAAATAAGCACAAGGGCGCGTGGTATAAAAAAAGAATGCATGAAATTTATTGCCTTCTAGTCTTTTTACTATATAAAAATAGAAGTACAAAACTTCATTAAAATATATATACAAGTGACAGTATGAATGAATATAAAAAGTATAAAAAAGATAGGTCAAACTTTTAAAAGTCATGAAACACTTAGGAAATAAACAAGAGTGTGAGTGTAGGCATTATTTTCTTGTAAGTAGTAAAGCCTTATCCAAATAATATTTATCGATAAGACAGAAAACAATAACTTCACATAACTAAAAAAAGGGTATAAAAAGGGAGAAATTTGCTCTTATCCCTGTTTCTCTCTCTTTCTTTTTTCTTTACTCTTTTTGGTTTCTTCTGACGGCTCTATTGGTTGTTCTCTTTGGGCAATGTAATTTTTTTTTATAAAACTTATTCAACAAGGCGATGATTGTGTGCTCAAGGAATTCTATTCAATCTCTTTCTATGATGCTCAACACGTGTCCTGGACTGACAACGGTCGTTCGTTTCATCACTCAACTGGAGGCTTTCAAGCAGCCAAAAGGAGAGTTATGGACATTCGATTGGAATCTTTACAGGGGGCTAAGTAGTTAACTGGGAGCTAGTTATCTGAGATCACAGCTGTGACAGATTGCTGATGATGCTTCCTGCTGCCTGGCTGGCGTAAAGGGGTACATAAGCTAGTTGACAATTGACAAGGTTCAGTTAATGTATACCCCAACGATACGTCTGCTACTACGAGTCTTTGCAGGCTGCTTGGTCCCTTGTTCTGATTGTCAATGGCCGGCCTGGAGAATGTCGTCACAGCAGTAATCAGAGCCTTTAGAAGTCTTTTGGCATCGTTGCTGACCTTTTTTTTCTTCTCTTTTAGGTTTTCTTTGGTGCAAAACATTGACTTTTGAGAATAATCTTTAATAAATAAATATGCTTTTTGAAATGACTTTTACTATTGTTTTTTTTATATTGCAAAAAATATACGTTTTTTTTTCTAAATCACTTTAAGTTACTATATTGAAGATATGCGCAACATCAGAGCTATACCAATGTCCAATGGATACAGTCACGCCCTTATTACGCATCGTTGATCACTTAACACTGAGAAGCTCACAAGAATCCAAGTTACAGTGGAATTAATGAGAATAGATTTAATGAAGAACAAAAGTTTGTCAAGGGCTATTTATGGTTTAATTCAGAAGCTGTTCAAGGCTGTTTACGAGAGGATATCAACGATACTGAGCTCTGCTCTTATCACTCTTATCACTCTTATCACTCTTACTACTCTTATACTCTTACCATAATTACAACGCTTAAAGGAAACTTTATTGTGCACGCAAAGACCATTTACTACCCCCCATTTCTTGGTATTTATTCACTGAAATAACCATGTCAATTTTTTATTACTATCTGTAATTGTAGTATGTAGACTTGAACGAAGATGAATTTATGTATCGCTTTGCGACGTCCGGAATCATTCTAACGGCATTTTGGTAACAGTCTTCCCAACCCACCCTGCCTGTTTTTTCGCTATGTAATCATTGACATGACGAACAGGCGATTGCGTTGTATGTATCCTAGCAGATGTGTCATATATACTGTCGACCTTGATGTCGGCAGACTCGGGAGTTGGCGTCGTTGTTTCATGTGCTTCGCCGGTTGAAATGCTCTCATACTTTCTTTTGAGCGATCTAGCCCAGAAGATTCCAGCCTCTACGTATTCTACTGACTTTCTTGGACTACTTAAGATACTGCCAGCTGTTTTCTGGGATTGCTTTTCAACGGTGTTTGCCACTTCCCAAAGAGCAGATACCCTGTTGCCTTCACTTTTGAGGCCTTACGGAGATGTTCGCATTGATAACCGGTAAAGTTTGACGGTTGTTAGGTCGCTCAATTTTGGTAAGCCAATTATACTTAGTTGGCCAGCGACAAAAAAATGCGCAACGGCCAGTAATGGATCAAGGTGTCTGTGGCATTTGTTGTTGTAATAGCGAGAACAAACAGAAAGTATAATGGGGCTCTTTATGTTTCTTTTATTTTGAAGAATAAAAAGATGAAGTTATTAAAAATGTAGTTACACTTATTATATAAAATTGTAATTATTACTGTGATTGATCAGTTTATGTTACTGAGCTTTTTGTTATTGATGTGTTGATACTACTTATTAACCCTTATTCAACGTAGAATACGACAGTGTCAACAGATGATATACATTGCTCAACACTTCGGGATGTCACCATAAAAAGTTTTCTTGCATGATGCGCTGCTGCTCCTGAGTGCAGTAACTGCTACTTATCTTCCAATGGCTCAAAAGTTTTTGCAATAGTTCATGAATGGGCTTTGAGGTAAAATACTAAGATGATCGACAGTTGCTTTATTAACTGCGTGACATCCTGGCAGTACCCTATGTCACGTGTCAAAAAGCCTTGATCAACTTTCTGTTGAAGCACAACAACGATAGGCAGTTGATTCAGCTTTGATAAGTAAAGAACATCACGTTCAGTTTTATTGAAAGTCGTTGCTGCGGAATGATATATCTCAGGAGGCGTCACTATCAGTGAATTTATAAATATGACAATAAAACCTTGTTCAGAAGCCAGGTAGATGATTTGAAAGTAACTTGAAGTACATTATCAGGAATTGAGCAACAACAATTACATTAAATTCATCAGAAGTTAGACTAGTTCTAAGGGCGTTATATCTACTCATTACCTATGATATCGTCTAACAAAGCTTTTCAATGTTTAGCGTCAAACCAAGAATGGCTTTATAAAGTTACCGACTTGTTTGTTTCTTTTCAAGAAGAACTAGATAAAAAGAAATGCTGCTATCTCTTTTTTTATTTTAATTTCATGTTGCAAGTTCGATCAAAAAGGACCGCTTATGATAAATTCGTATTTATATTATTTAATCTATTTTCTGGTTTATTTTCTGGTGCATATAGTGTTCACCTTTCCCTTCTGCTTGGGAAATGTAGACTAACATTAGTGATGATTATGACTGTGATAGATTTAATGACTATAGATTCATTTTTATAGTAAAAAAAAATGGACCACTTTTCTTTTCCTTCAAATCGTAATCAGCCAAATACAACAATGCCAACAGCAGAAAAGAAACACATAAAGAATATTTATACTTCCCAAATCAAGTATTGCAATGGCGGAAGAAGAGAACCTTCTTCAAAAGCATATGTTTAGATATACAGTAATTACATGTCTTTAACAGATACAACTCTTCAATTAACACGTTTCATACTTATACTTAGCCCTCAAATCAATGCATAAGAGGCAGGCAATACTTCAAAGCACAGGTAAGCAAATTCACGAAAAAGGATTATGCTGTTGATGTTTGGTCAAGGATTTTTTCCATCTTTTTTGCAAATGATAATCTTGCATATTGATTTATTTCTTTTTGGGAAAGGCTTTATCTCGAAAGAGTCGACTAGTAGCAAGAAACAGTAAAGTTCCAGTTCTCTGACATAAGTGACAAGGCCGGCTTGAGGATGCGTTGTACCTCTGCCGGCAAAGCTGACGATTTAAGCAATATTGAGTTTGCGAAGAACATTAACAAAGACAAGTATCATGTCAATCACGCCAACCATCGAAAGACTATGAGAGAAGCCAAAAAATAGCGCTGATCAACTGTATTAGAAGAAGAGAGATTTCCATAAAGCCCGCACTTTGCTGGAGCGGTTAATGAGCTTTAGAGAGAGTGACTATACCAAACCGTAATTATTTCACTATGATGGCGAATAATGATATAGTCATGAACCTCTGGCAGCATCAACAAAGCTCGCTATATGATGATAGTGATGATGGGTCTTCCGCTTGGTCTTCCCCTGCCTCCTCCATCTAGCTTGAAGTAATGAACAAATATACAAGCTGGGTTTGCGACTCTTGTTTCCCACCGTCAATGGAAAAAGAAGATGCAGGATCATGGGAGATTGAGATCTTTCCGCTTATCACCAGTTGGCTCAACAAAGCAGTAGACGAAGCTGTAGAGAAACTTCCACCATTTCAAGATGGATGGAAGGGGGAGGGTATTCCGACATTAGAGGAATCAATCGAGATATATGGATAATGTATTGCCTGGACAATATGTGTGTTTTTTTGTTTTTTTTTCCCTTTCTTTCTTTCTTTCTTTCTTTCCATAAGTCCAGAAGACCGCATTATCACTAGCTTTCAAACCTAAGATGACTAGAAACATAGACTGCATGCCAGAAAACTACACGGTGTAAATCCTTTATGAATAAAAAGCGCTCATGGCCCAAAACTCAAGGCTCAAGAATCAAAAATCAATCAGGGGAAAACTCAGGAAAGGAGAGATTCAGCGTATGAAGAGTGCACCTAAGTACCTAGGACAAAGCTTTTCGAGAATACTACAGACAGTGTGCGCAGTAGGGACGTTGAAACCTTGAAACATTGGAACATTGGAACAGTGAAAGCATCGAGCTCAGTAGCAGGAAGGATTTACGGACCATTCATCAGCTGTAGAGGCAAGGCCATAACAATAGGAGCATCTCGGGATGATCCAGAGTAGAGAAGCGGCGACCTGTTTGGTTAGTTTTTTGTTTTTGTTTTACACTTTTTCTTATCTTGTAGTAGAGTTTGATAGAGTTTGGTAGATAGTGGCAAAGTAGATTGATTATGTTTCTTGTGGCTTCAAGACTTGAATATGCAGTTATTCCAGAACAGTAGTCATTAGCAGCAGACGTTGATAGACATGAGCAAAATTATTTAGGGATTTTCTGACGTTGATAAGCATGGGGCAAGCATTCACTAGCATTTTCAGGCACTGATGATCATTTGCAGGTATTGATAAACAGTTGATAAGCATTCGCTGGTCTTTCCAGAGATTTGATAAGCATTCGATAAGCGTTTGAGTATTTCTTTGAGCATTTCTTTGTGTGTGTTTGAGTGTATTTGAGTGTATTTGAGTGTATTTGAATGTGTTTAAATGTGTTTGAGCGTATTGGAGTGTATTGGAGTGTTTGGCTGTTTTGAGTGTTTGAGCATTTGTTTAAGTATTTGAGTATTTGAGTACTTGATTGTTTGAGTGTATTGATAGGCAGTAGCAAGCGTTTTTTAAGTATGAATGGACATTTTGTGCATTAGCGAGTAGCAGAGATTTCTTTAAAGCTTCACTCCGTGAGTGGCCATTACGATAGAGTAAGATGCATCAAGAACCATGAAATAGAGCCACCAAAAGTGAATTTTCTAAAAGATGACATTGGTTATATGTACTTTGAGATTGCCTCAAAATGATATTGTACCTTTTTCAACATAAGAAATAATATAACAATAGGAGTATTTTTAGAAGAGATAAAGAATGAAAAATGAAAAAAAGAACAAGAATGATGGTCTCTTTTATAGTTTTTTGTTTACGTGAGTTATGTTATTTAAGCTGAAAATAAATGACTCATTCCTCCCTTCTCTAATAATGTACGAATAAATAAATAACTCGCTCTCTATCTTATACATATTAAAACATATCCAAGCATCCGAACGCCTCCCCCTTTCGTTTGTATATTTTTTTTTCACAGCTCCTTTTTCTTTTGTAAAACCGCTTGTTTAACTGAGGCTAACCTCACACACATACACATACACATGTGCATATACATATATGCTTTTTTTATTATGTTTGCTTCACTTTTCTTCTTTCAAATACGCGTTTTTTATTTTTTTCTGGTCCTTTTTTTTAAGAATGAGTAAAAAAGTTTAAAGTGGGCAGCATCCTTAAAAATGCAGCTGATAGTAAGCAAAAGTGAAAATTTTCTCAAAGAGCACCAGGCTGTCGATGTTATGGAATGTGCGTGATAGTTATCTAAAGAATCTGCGCATTACTCTTTGCTTGTTTATCACATACCTTTTTAGTATCTGCTAATAGATAACACGTTTAAGAAATAGAGAGATCTCTTAAAAAATGTTAAAGGATGTCATTATTTTTTTTGATGAAGGACCTGTGCATCTTATAATTCCCTTTTTCTGGCATTTGCTAAAAAGAATTAAAGGCAAACCAGATCGTGACCTTTGTAATTAACATGTATTAAACCTGTTTATCAAGCATGAATATAGCTGACCTAGGAAAGCATAAGAGTGTGTAGTGCTTTTATTTTTATTTTTAGTACGCATTAAAAAAGGATAAAAGGTAAAATGCTTATCCTCTATTTCCCTGCTGTTATATCCTTATCCTTTTCCCTTCTGCTTGTCGAATGTAGACTAGCATTGACGGCGATTGTGATTATGGTAGATTTAATGACTATACGTTCATTTTTATAGTAAAGCAATGGATCTTCTAAATCTGCATAAATCATTTCAAATGGCGCTCGAAACAAGACGGGTTGCTAAGGTACACGGCATACTTTATATAGTTCCCTATTGTCATGGATGCTCGCGTATTATGAATGAGAGATATTATCAAATATGTGACTTATTGAGAAAGAATTTTGTAAAAATGAAAAAGAATACGAGTACATGAATGCATGGATGTCAAAAGGATAAAAAATAAATTTTATATGGAGATAAAATAGTAGAAGGATAACTCAACACGCCTTAGAGGGGAAAAGTGCGATAGCAGAGCAGTTTATCACTGTAGTAAGGAACGCTGTCATTCAGTTGATCAAGCGTAGCCTTTACTTTGTCGAATCCTAAGTTAATATTGCAAATGATACTTTACTTGTAAATACAGCAGTGCATGTATTTGATGCTCGCTTTATTCATGATCAAGTTTAATATTGGTTCAATTCATTAAAGCGAAAACGCGTTCTAACCGAAAGTTCAACCTCACTTGTTTTATTATTTTATTTTATTTTAGTTGAAAACCCCTTTCTGATTTGGTCGACGAAATAAGCTCGAACTCAGCTGCCACCTTGGGTCAAAGCTATTTTCAATTTGGATGGACCATCCTATGTATACCTATGCTTAACCGTACTAGGAGTTGATGTCTTAGCTGGCATAACAGTGGTAAACCCAGCTATCCACACGTGAGCGACCATCATCTTACACACACAGTTTCTTGAGTCTTTCCCTTTTCTATTGATGATCCATTTTCCTTTTACCTGAACAAGCTCTTACATAAATCCTCCCCAAAGCCACCAGCGATGGCTGTAAGATGAAAGCAATGATGGATAGCCATTATAGAGTCTTGACTATCTTAACTATACACTGCACATCCAACCACTTCTTCAAGACATTGGTCAAGGACCCTTTCATCCTCTGGTTTTCATCTTGACAAAGATTTATATAATTCATATAATCCAGACGTTCACTATGGCAATACTTGAGATTTTTTTTCTTCTCCCTTTCCTCAGTTTGTCCTGGCCCTTTGAATAGGCCCAGGCGTTTCTTT